ACAACTATTATGAGAATCAATGTTTTCACAATAAAATTAGTATTAACCAACCGATGTTGATAAATGTTCAGTGCGTGCAGAGCGACACGACGTGTGGATTTCAGCTCGTAATATCTATACTTATTTACAATATTATAAATAGCTTGTTTTGGATATGTCAGGTTTAATGATGCAAAAGATATAAGCCATAGAAACATATAAGCTTTGATCAAAAAGTATCAGGACTAGTACTATGAAAAGAAAACTACAATATATATCAATTTGGCATTTAATCTCCTTCGAAGTAGTTTGCTCTTCTGAGGCCACACACTTTATCCAACGTCGTTTGTAATGATAGAATCTTACCTTTTTGGGATAGCGAGCAGCTGCCTCGTCGCATTCTCTTGGGTTTCCTCGACGTTTTGAAATCTTGTTCTTTTCAAGTGAGATTTGATTTTAGAAGGGGAAAAAGCCGCAAGGAATGAGGTGAATATGTTATTGTCGGACCTGGAGAATGTTCCATAAACCATGGTCATTGATTGAAGCACTGTGGTCTAGTGAAACGATCACTCTCTACACATTTTCTTTCCAAGCACTGCTATAAAGAACGGAAGTAAGCGAGAATGTTATAACTTAATGTGTATGCTCAACACTCGGTGTACATTAGCTCCGTTACCATAGCAACAATACCGATACGTTTTGATCGGACCTGGTATATTTCATTAACGCAATATTTCGTAAAACCTTTTTTTAATCGTCTCTCCACAAGCAAGGTAATAAAGGCCACCAGAATGCAAGAGGTCACGGAGAGGGGAAAATAGACTTCAATAAAAGAAGAGCATTCAAGGAGCCGAGAAATGACGATTGACGATGGATTTAAATTTCTGACGGGAAGTTGAGAGGAAAGCAAGGAATCTGTAAGAGAGTTACACAAGCGAGAAGTCTGAAAGAAGAAACTATTAACATAGAACTTACGGTTACAATTAGCAATTTCAACAGTGAAATTATAAGACCTAGCTGCCAATCTTGTTCTGCGGCTAATTCTAGACTTAAAGAGGTCAAGAGTGTAGTGGTAAAATATCTGTTCCACAAAGCCGTAGTTCTTGGAAAAAGCTCTCCGAATGGAGTTTACTACTTACTGTAGGAATACGAAGGGAATGGGGATGATTCACTCTTGTGGATCTGGTATGGTTGGTCCCAGTTGTAAACGTCTGTGATAGGGAAACTAAGGAATGTATTTCTTCAGAACACATGCGACGGAATTAGCGATAGAGCAGCGAGAGGCTCGCTAGGTTTCGTCTGTTGGAAAGGGATTGTAGAGTGGAAAATAATTTGTCACCCGCGCAGACACATTTAAATTCTAGCAAAGCAGGCAAGTGTGAACTGAGAAGCTCCAGTATATAGATATTTATTTCTTAGTCTCTTTTATAAAAGAAGGATAAGAAAAAAACCTTTTATCGGAATTAGTTTTATGTCAATCAAACGTAGTGACACTCCTTTATTGTGCACAATAACAACTTGCTGTTTGTCGCAATACGAAAGTGTGCTGAAAAGTTCTCTAGATCGACCGAGAAGTCGTATTTTTTGGAAAAAAAAAAAGAACATCTAATATTTGTCATTTTGGACTTGTGGCATTTGGTCAGATTTTGGGACGTGGACGGGAGCAAGTATTTTTCAGTAACTCTTCATATATTGATCAACTCATTCATTTTGTATTTTTATGAAAACAAATGTATAAAATGGACGGACACAATTAATTTTAATGCACTTAATCAGGTAAACTCTTGAACCCGTTGGAAATTTTAATCACTCATCTCAAGGAAAATAAACTTTTACAGCAATTATAATGATTCTGAAGGTTTTCCTTTGTCGAAATAAGTTGTCAAATTTTTAGCAATTAGCACAACCAAAAATCAATTATCGACAATTAAAATAACTTACATCCAAGCAATAACAGAAATGTTTATTTCAAAGGTAAATTGATTCTGTTTCACTCTTTATGAAACAAGTGATGAAATGAAAACAAAAATACTTTTTAAGTCTTATTACGTTTGTCTTTAATGTTTTTTTTTTCATTTATTTTCCGTGTCATTTCAGGACGTGTATAATCATGTCACCCCGCAATTTCTAATCATTTCTACCTCTGTGTATTATCTGACTTCTTAATGTTCCTAACATTTTTCGTTTTACCGTCCATTTACAAAAGCTCGTTAGGTAGGTTACTCGCTGTTCCGTTCAGAACTTCTTGCCTCTAATATGTCCCGTGTCTGTCGTATTCTCTAAGTATTCTCAAAATGTACCTCTAAGTATTCTCATAAGTATTTATTCTTTAAGTATTCTCATGAGTATTTATTCTATAAGTATTGTCAAAAGTATATGTTCTCTAAGTATTCTCATGAGTATATATTATCTAAGTATTCTCATGAGTATTTACTCTCTAAGTATTCCCATGAGTATTTATTCTCTAAGTATTCTCATAATTGGGTGATGGAAGCTGCAGAAAGAACCAATGGGAGAAGAGCAGCCCACGAAAAAACAACATCCTTCGAAAACACCAGAAGACAAACGGAAGAGACGAAGAGAACCCAAAGACAATCCAGAGCTCTCTATCCTTGGAACCCTCTCCCTACCCTACCATGTAGTGGCTGCGGACGTCTCTTCACATCTAACGTAAGACCCCCTTCACGCAGAAGGAAATGTCAATAAGCACCCCTAATAAATGGTAACAAGTTGTGTCAACGACGACGATACTCATAAGTATTTATTCTCTAAATAGTCTCATAATGTGCCTCAGAAATTTCAACTCTCTCGTCCTGATTCTAAGTGGAATAGCCCTTTTTTTCCAATTTTTCTTAAAACTTCCTTTTTGTTAACACGTAGTATTCTCAGCATCCTTCTCTGTAGAATATTATCTCAGTTTCCTCAAGCTTCCTATTCATCTGTGAGGAAATTGTATAATGTTCCCTGCCATAGAGAAAAATAGATTTTACATAACAGTCCAATAATCTTTTTTTAATAATTTGTTTAGCTTTTACTATGCATCTTTCATTATTCCCATTTCTTTGGAATTCTGTCTCACATTTTCCGTCGTCTGTTAAAACAGTTCCCAAATAGTTCAATTTCTCTACTTGCTATATTCTGACAACTCTTTTCCTTTTGCTAACGACCATACATTCTGTCTTCTTATAATTGGTACTTAGTCCTTTATTCCCGCTTTCCTCTACTTGTTTTGAAATTCTTGAAGTTTTCTATCTGTGTCTGGCATAAAAACATCGTCAAGAGGTTGAATTATAGATATCAAATGAGAAACGGTTCATGTTGATTATTGAAAATAGGAGATTTTTTTCTTGTCTGGTAACGCAATGGTTTCAGTTTAGATGATATTGGTGGAAGAAAGAAAACATCGTATCAAATTGAAAGTGTAACATCGAGCCCATTAGGAACTGAATAACACGAGCGTATGATGTGATCAAGTTTTAGCCGTCAGGGATAGAAATATTGACAATTAGTATCTTACATATCGATATATGAATAGCATCTATATATATATATATATATATATATATATATATATATATATATACACTACAGTTCAAAAGTTTGAAACCACCACAAGAATTAGCATGGAATGAACTTGGCAGAAGAGTGAAAAAAATTTGAAAAAGAGCTCTTAGAGTTATTGAAAAAAGAATGGAATCAATTATCAAACTTATACTTTTAGAAAACCTTTGCAACGAATCAAAGCTGAAGGAGGATATTTTGACGAGAGCTAAATTTAAATATAAAATGCTGTTTTTCTTTTTGTCATAATAAAATTTCTAATAAAAATTTACGTTTCACTTTTTAACCATATATAATAATTTTCTATATTTAAAGTACAAAACAACTACTTTTGACGCCAATTTAAAACATTAACAGAGATTTCCTCACACTTTGGAACTATAGTGTGTGTATACCTATATATATATATATATATATATATATATATATATATATATATATATATATATATATATATATATATATATATATATATACAAAAAGGAAAAACTTTTATTGATCCTAGATTACGCGTTTTCGCCTTTCAACAGATCGAAAAAAAAAAAAAAAAAAAAAAGAAATATGTGAATGCTTAAATAATAAATCTTAAGTACTTTTTCCTTTAATCTGGCGTTTCTCGTTATGAAAGAAAAATAAATGAAATTGTGGGACTTTTGTAAAAAAAAAAAATCCGTTAATATTTACTTAGACTACAGCATTTGGACTGTTGTCCTCATTTTTATTGCCACATCCACGACGTTACGGCCATTGTACAGACCGTCCTACCTCAGGTGAGATACGTTGGAATTTTGAACCGAACCCTTTTTTTCCATAAATTCTTAAACACCTTCAAAACTGACCCTCTTGATGATTCCCTTGAGCTTAGAGAAAAGGAAAAAAAAAAGTCACATGGAGCAAGATCAGGCGAATGATAAGGTTATTCCAGCACAGCAAGATTTTTCTGGTCAGGAACTGCCGGATACTCAGGATGTTGTGAATAGGTGCATTATCCTGCCCCCGCAAAAATATGTGAAAAAATGCAGTGGGTGCAGAAATCTAAGACTACAGTTATTTGTTTCAAAGATATCATGTTAGATGTTGACACAGTCTGCTTATTTTCCTTTTGCTCATAGCTCACACACCACACCCAATCTTGTTTACTTTTCAGACAGACCTCGTATAGATAGATAGATAGAGAGATAGACAGACAAGAACCGTTGGTTTCTGATGGATTTTAAATTTGACCACTCTCAGTAGATCCCTATTTTTTCTCTATTAGCTCGTATACCGCATTGTAAAAACTATTGCTTTTGCGATAATCGGTGATATTATGTATGGTCCTGTTCTTAGGTTTATCGTCGAGATTTGTGAGAATAGCGCACTCTCAATGCATTTTCTCGCCAGTGAATCCTTTTCTGTCCAGATCAGACCGGCAATTATTAAATCGAAATTATGGTCAGATGAATTACGGTGAACAACCAATGTATTTAAAATCTATCTATCTATCTATCTATCTATCTCAGTCTCTTCATATCTATCTATCTATCTATCTCAGTCTCTTCATATCTATCTATTTATCTATCTCAGTCTTTTCATATCTATCTATCTATCTCAGTCTTTTCATATCTATCTATCTATCTCAGTCTCTTCTCTTCATATCTCTATCTCAGTCTCTTCATATCTCTATCTATCTCAGTCTTCATATCTCTCCATCTATGTCTCTTCATATCTATTCTATCTATGTCTCTTCATATCTCTATCTAGTCTCTTCATATCTCAGTCTCCTCATATCTATCTATCTATCTATCATCTCAGTCTCCTCATATCTATCTATCTCAGTCTCCTCATATCTATCTATCTCAGTCTCCTCATATCTATCTATCTCAGTCTCCCACATCTATCTATCTCAGTCTCCTCACATCTATCTATCTCAGTCTCCTCATATCTATCTATCTCAGTCTCCCCACATCTATCTATCTCAGTCTCCCCATATCTATCTATCTCAGTCTCCCTCATATCTATCTATCTCAGTCTCCCCATATCTATCTATCTCAGTCTCCTCACATCTATCTATCTCAGTCTCCTCACATCTATCTATCTCAGTCTCCTCATATCTATCTATCTCAGTCTCCTCATATCTATCTATCTCAGTCTCCTCATATCTATCTATCTCAGTCTCCTCATATCTATCTATCTCAGTCTCCTCATATCTATCTATCTCAGTCTCCTCATATCTATCTATCTCAGTCTCCTCATATCTATCTATCTATCTATCTATCTATCTCAGTCTCCTCATATCTATCTATCTATCTATCTATCTACCTCAGTCTCTTCATATCTATCTATCTCTCTTTATGCATGTAAAACCATGTCTGGATTTGCAGTAGTTACCTCAGTACTTCGTAGGAACAGCCGAGGGAAGCAGATAAATGTCAAACAATATTACATCACTCTTTCAAGAAAATATGCACTCGATAACTTTGCTTTTGTTTAAATAGGAAAACCGACCTTTAACATTATTGAAAATGATTAAATATCTTAGCCACGAAACAAATCACGAAATATATTAGTTAAGCTTACTCCTGTTGAATACACTATACTAACGAACTGATATGCAGGAAAATCTTAACCAACACTCGGATATCATTCTCATTGTTGTTACGAACGATGTCCATGCAGATACCTTATTTAGTCTCGCCTGACACTAGGCCAAAATAGGCATTATATTATACTTCAAAAATGGCTGCCATGACTAAGATGGAAGCTGCCCAATCATCCTTTTCCAATCTTGAAAGTTTAATATCGTTTACATAGTCTTTTTCCGATCTATAGCCCTTTTTCCACAGACACTGCGTTACGAGCCGATTGTTACTCTATCACTGTTTCAATGGCAAATGTTCAGATGAGCCCCGCATCTGTAGTTCCGCCTGTTCAGACATTTAGAGCTAATAATAATAATAATAATAATAATAATAATAATAATGATAATAATCAAGGATGGAACTAACCCGAAATGCAGGATCTTCGGAAAATATGATGAAACTGTCAACCATATTATCCCAGGGCGTCCAAAAAAAAAAAAAAAAAAAAAAAAAAAGAAAAGAATATACCCACAGGCATATCAAAGAAGCGACATATGTGCACTGGAAGATGCACGTATATCGCTAAATAATAATAATTATAATAATAATAACAATGTTGCAAATTTTAAATAGCTGAAGAAATCTGTTACTTGTTTGAAGGCCGAGGATTATTTCCTGTAGAAGGGAAAGGATGCCGAAAGGGAATCAGAGCGAGGAATAATCTACTATGTATCGATCAAAGAATATTGAAAGAAGATAAAACGACAAAGAAGAATTGGGCTGTGATCCCACAATCTTGGATAATAGAATGCCTGAAGATGTTAAGAATCTGAAGACAAGTCGTGAAATTTGTGAAGAAGAAAAATAAAAGAAAAAAGCGATGGAAAATCGGTAAGTGGGATTAAGCATAGTTTGACAATGGTAAACATAGGTCAAGATAAAAAAAGAGTTATCTTCAAATGAGATAACTTAAAAACGTTTGCCAAAAGAACAGGAAGCACGCATACAAGCATTGGGAATCTTCAACTAAGACATAAGAAATGAATTTGTCATTGGGAAATATGCAATGAATACGGGAACAAGAGAAAATTATCAATTTGCTTGATGAAAAGTATAACTAAGTATTTAGATACAAGAAAGCAGAAAGAAATGAACTGAAAAATCAGCAAATAATATCTTAAAAGAACAAAGAAAACTAGGAGAGATAAACCTCATTAAACAAATAAATACTTGGCCAGTTTTCATCACAAGATATTACTGGCCCTTCTTGAACTAGACAACAGAGGAGACCAGAAATATGGACTAAAAAATAAGTAAACTGATGACAGTTCATAAGACATTAAACCCGAGAGATGCCATCGGCAGACTGTATCTTAAAAGGACGAAAAGGATAAGTCAGCCTGGAAAATTACGCCTACTTCACAATAAATGCTTCGTTGGTTGTTAACCTGTTCTGGGTTATTTCATTCTACAGTCGGCAGATTTGAAGAGTTTAGAGGTCAGAACAAAAAAAACTACTTCCGGTAGCTGAAAACGGTACTAAAACGAAAAACTGAACAAAACCCCAGAAAACGACAATGGAACAGACAAAAAAACGGAAAATTGTTATAGGGTTTCTTCAGGAGACAACTGTGGGAAGAATGGGTAAACTGTCATTGACATGATTACTAAGAGGAAATCTTAATAGCGACCCAAAACAACACCATAATATCAATTATGTAAATTCCAAGACAAAGCAGGAAAACATCAATTAAAGAATAACATGGAAATAAAGATAAAACCGTCAACCACATATTCAACGAATATAGCAATTTTGTTCTAATTGCGATCACCCCAAGCAAGGCAGTAAAGCCACTAAGAATCACGGAATTACTGGGTGTGGAAGTATTAGAAAACAAAAATATTACTAAGGATCGAGAACAAAACAAGATTAACCAAGAGGTCAATAGATAGCGATTGATATTGCAATTCAATTTTTGAATATTAAAGTTGACTGAAAAGCATGTAGTAGGAAAGGAGTTCTACAAGCGAGAAAAGAAACTGTTAGCATAGGACTTCCAGCTACTGCTAGCCAACTCAACTTTAAATTGATGAGACCTTGTTGCCAGTGTAGTACTGCGCTTAAATCCATAATTAGACTAGAAAGAATGTAAAACTGGGTGGGAAAGGTGATCCACTGGGAACTGTGAAAGATTAAAGCAGATTGCCCATTCCAGGTCAGAATATAGGATCTAGTAAACAACAAGAAGATTACATGCAAGATGGTCGATTCCACTGTTTCGGTAGACCAGGGAGTGGAGCTGAAAAAAGTGCAAAAATAAGTGAGTTTCTTGACCTTACAAGGGAGCAGATGAATTTGTGGAGCACAAATGTAACAGTCGTGTTAGTAGTTATCAGTGAACCCGGAACGGTTCCGAAAAACCCAAGTAAAAATTGGAGAAACTGAAATTTAACAGAAGAGCTGGACTTGTTGTCACTTAATCTCTAGGGGGAAATAATGTTATTCGTGCGAACACTCAAAGATTCAATAATAATAATAATAATAATAATAATAATAATATCACATGTGTATAACATTGTGCATGTAAATTTTATTTTCGTCCGAAAAAAATCAATTTAGTCATCTTTTGAAAATTATATCACTATCATTCTGCTCGATAAGCAAAACACCATAATACAAACTACTCTATAGTTTAGACATGTTTGGACGTATGTGTCAACACAGACATTCAAAATGAAACAGCCATAATAACCAAATAACAAGAATAGAAACGAACAGGGCTTTCATTTTATATTTTTCAATTAAGTAATAATAATAATAATAATAATAATAATAGAGAAAGCCAGAGAATGAAAAGACTTATCATTTATTGAACAAAGTCTCTTGAGAGATCGAAGAACAAGAATCTCGTAATGGTCTGGCTCGATTTCGAAATGTCTATGATATAATCCCCCAATAATGGATGCTGGGATGCATAAATATGTTAGATATTTCAGAGTGGTCGGGTTTGTAGCAAATGCCATGAAAACGCCGATAGTGAAGCTAACTTCAGGAGGAGATTTCCTAACCGAAACCATAGTAAAAAGATATTTTTCAAGGAGATATTCTTGTCCAAAAATGGAAACGATGCATCTTGTGTGATCTCAGGTGATGGCAAATATAACTTTACCAAGTTAGATAAAAAATCAATACATAATATATATGGATAACTTGGAAATATTTTCCCCACACTTAAAATAAATAAATGGAAACTTTGGTACGTACAGAATCTTTAGTCATAGCATTAGAATAAAAAGGTGAAATACAAGTGATATACAAGAGAAAACAGGAAGCAACAAAAGGAACTGAACTACTGGGCAAATCACTTATCAGGACGCTGAATGTAAGTGAAGAACTCAAGTTCTTTGCAAAGCGGAAGTTGTTTTAATTAAAAATCGTTTAAATGATAGAAAAAAATAGGTGAAGAAAAACAACGATAATTTTGGAAAAAGAGCCAACAGTAGCAAAATGAAAGGAATTAATAAGTGGGCAAATTCTATTGTGAGGAATTCGATTTAGATAGAATAAAAGAGAAATTAAGAACCATGTAAAGACAGCTTGAACCTTACGGATAGATTTGTTGGATTGTTTGTAAAATGGAAATGAGGATGACGACTTCTCTGCATTGAATATTTTCCACTCTGCTGTCAACTACAAAACAAGGCAAATTAATGCAAGGCTAATTATGACAGTCAAACGTTGCAGTAAAATTTACAAAAGAACAAATGTGAAATCAGAAAAATTCCAGAAAGAGAAGTTAAAAATTTCTAATGTTATTGAATAGAAAAAACAAAATAAATTTTGAAATAGATGACGTACTTAATGTCATGAATGATCAAGAGTAGTGGCCACTTGTTTTGTTGCTCTTCTCTTTGAGAGAGCTACTTCTGTTTACTGGGACTATAAAAGGACACTATACGCAAACCTTGTATTCTCAGTTGAATAAAGCTTTCTTAAAGACTAGACCTGCGTACCTTTGTCATTACACTTAGTTGTAAGAAGATTATTTAAAAAGAAAACCTAAATATCTATAAATACGTCTTAAATCTATTAAAAAACTGCATTAAGACCAAGATAGGCAAGATACATTAGAATATCAAATGTAATTTGTATGGAAATAAAGTTGCAAGCGACGATCGATTGTAAAATAAGTGACTTAGAAAGTGTACAAAACAGGCAAGACTCACCCAACTCCAAGTATGATTATTTATCCGCTGCCCCACGCAGCAAGATGTGGCATAAGGCCGAGTTTAAAGTGGGGAATCCGAGACCGTAGGCTCGGGCAAAATTTCCCTATAGACCACGTAAAAAAACGGAGTCAGTTCCCCGAGACGAGACTCTGTCCAAAGGGCATAGCCTCGTTTGGTGGGGGAGTACCCTCTGACATAAGCCAGCCAAGTATGTCTTGCAACTTGATAAACCAAAAGCATCTCCATATACCAAGTTCTTCTGTTAGTAAAAGTAGCGACAATGTATCCATCGCCAGCTTGCTAGGCCTGTTGCATAGCATAGTCTGATATTTTCCTGCGGTCACCCATGTGAATACTGACAAGGGTAAACCTTGATTGACTGATGATCGGTAAGCGGTGTTTCAACTTAATATGAACGTAACACGGGCAAGACCCTGTATGAAAAATCCTCCACTGAGAATTGGACAGGCGATAGTTTTACTATACTGATTGATGACATATTCAAAAATCTGAGAAAGTACGGTTTAATTTGAGGGAATCACCGAATCCGATAAAAGACGTCATGTCATTTTAAA